ATTATAAAACATAACCCTATTAAAAACAATCACAAACATTTTAAAGCCAGTTTCAGTTTACTCCATTAGATGGGATTCAAAATAATAATGGCCAGAATTATGAGGTAGACCTAGACAGTACGCTTGGGTAACAACAGAAAAATTTGTTTCTAAACTCGTTTCGTTTTTAGGGGTTCATCGCGTTTCATTTTTTTAAAGAATTCCAAAATTTTCCTTTTAAAAATTTCGAAATTTACGAAATTTCATATAATTACGAATCGATTCGTTAATGGCAGACACGATTGCGCAATATGCTAAAAAAAACTCCAAATGGGACAGAGGGAACTTCTGAAGCTTCCCTCTCCCTCTGTTGTTGACTGTTGGTGTGATAAAACAAACAACAACTATAAAACTTGCACCAGACATGCGAAAAAAAAATACGAAATAATTTCGAAATAATTACGAAGTAATAACGAAATAATTACGAAATAAATTGAAAAAATTGTTTCGAATCTAATTTACTCCTCACACTATTCCTGCATGGCTCAATATTGGATCTTAAGCTAATTTAAATACAAATTAATAACGAATTACGAAATTAACGAACGAAACCGCCCAAGCCTACTAGACAGGTATGAAAGGGCTGCAAGGGCTAGTGCAATGAAGTAGCATATCGCCGGGCACGTGGATAAATTCCAGAGCAGGGTCCTAGCTGATGTCCAGGTAAAGGCCTGTGGCTAATCATTTTCAAAGGCCTGCTGGAACCACTAAGATTTCAGGTCTTCACTCTTTCCATGAAAACCAAGAGGAAGGAGATCAGTCTGATATCACTGGGGAGAGAGTTCCACAGCTGAGGGGCCACCACTGAGAAGGCCCTGTATCTCATCTCCACCAGTTGAGCTTGTGATGGGGGGGGGGAGCGAAAGCAGGTCCTCCCCGCAGATCTTAAATCTCTAACCAGTTCATAGGGAAATATATGTTTGGCCAGGTAAGTTGGACTGGAGCTGTTTAGAGCTTTATAGACTAAAGCCAGCACTTTGAATTGTGCTCAGTAACAAACCAGCAGTAATTAATACTTACTACGGGATACTGGAAACTGCAGATGGCTTCATGATTCTTTGTTGTTGTTTTTCATTCGTTCAGTTGTTTCCAACTCTTTGTGACCTCATGGACCAGCCCACGCCATAGCTCCCTGTTGGCCATCACCCCCCCCCCCCCCCCCCCAGGTCCTTCAAGGTCAATCCATTCACTTCAAGGATCCCATCCATCCATCTTTGAGCAGGCGTTTGCAAATACAGTGTAATGTTGATGTTGTTCATTCAGTCAGTCATTTCCGACTCTTCATGACCTCATGGGCCACCCAGACCAGAGCTCCCTGTTGGCTGTCACCATCCCCAGCTCTTCCAAGGTCAATCCAATCACTTCAAGGATGCCATCCGTCCATCTTGCCCTTGTTCGGCCCCTCTTCCTTTTTTCTTCCATTTTCCCCAGTATCATTGTCTTCTCTAAGCTTTCCTTTCTTCTCATGATGTGGCCCAAATACTTCATCTTTGCCTCTACTATCCTTCCCTCCAATGAGCAGTCGGGCTTTATTTCCTGAAGTATGAACTAGTTGGATCTTCTCGCGGTCCAAGGCACTCTCAGCACTTTCCTCCAACACCACTGTTCAAAAGCATCTATCTTCCTTCGCTCAGCCTTTCCTATGGTCCAGCTCTCACATCCGTAGGTGACTATGGGGAATACCATTGCTTTAACTATGTGGATCTTCATTGCCAGTGTGATGTCTCTACTCTTCACTATTTTATCGAGATTGGTCATTGCTCTCCTCCCAAGAAGTCTTCTGATTTCCTGGCTGCAGTCTGCGTCTGCAGTAATCTTTGCACCTAGAAATACAAAGTCTGTCACTGCCTCCACGTTTTCTCCCTCTATTTCCCAGTTGTCAATCATTCTTGTTGCCATAATCTTGGTTGTTTTGATGTTTAGCTGCAATCTCGCTTTCGGCCATCAAAGTGGTGTCATCTGCATATCTAAGGTTGTTAATGTTTCATGATTCTTACCATTGACAAAAAATGTATTGTTCTTTACATGATAATTCTCTACCTGTCTACTCAGAAATTCTCCCCATGAAGTTGAAAAGAGACCTACTCTTAGATAGGTCTGTATGTAAGATTGCAGCATTCATGAGTACAGTGTTATTTAAGCAAGTCTTTTGTATTTTGAGTTATGAGTCATTTACAGTTAGAATTCAGCAGCTTTGAGATATACATTTAATCATTAACTTTGTGATATACTTTGGTAGGATTCTGTCCAACATTGTACTTCCTCCAACAAACTGATTTGGATGCAGTTAGGGACTTGAACTCCCCTCCCTGCTGCACCTACCAGGTCCTCCAAATATTCTCTTGACGATTTGGAATTTCTGGAGCATATGTGAAAGGGAGCACAAGTGGATACTAGTCCTGTAGCGTTTGATTTACCCTATTCATTGATGTGAGATCTTTTATGCGTTGCTGTTTTCTAGATGATCTTGTAATTCCATCCTCTCCTGACTTATTCTTCCTTCTCTTCCACCTATGTCTCTTCTTTCTCTACCTTTCTTTTCTCTTTCTTCCTCTGCCTTCATCTGATTATTGATATTTTTCTCATTTGGTATTTCCTGATCAGTATGGCATGATTTTTTTTGTGTGTGTGTCGGGAGCAACTTGAAAAACTGCAAGTCACTTCTGAGAATTGGCTGTCTACAGGGATGTTGCCCAGGAAACACCCCAATGTATTACCATACTGTGGAAGGCTTCTTTCATGTCCCCGCATGGGAAGCTGGAGCTGACAGATGTAAGCTCACCCTTCTCCCCAGATTTTAACTGCAGCCCTTTTGGTCAGCAATCCTTCCGGCACAAGGGTTTAACCCATTGCACCACCTGGGGCTCCAGTAAGCATTATAAAGTTATTTTAGGAACTATCTGGTCAGTGATCTGACCTTTCTTACAGGTATTTGCCATGTTGGCTCTAAAGGCTGAAGGCAACTGGCCTGAACTGTTCCTGGGACTTAGTACTGGGATGCATGTTATTCAAGGCCCATTGTTCTTGAAAATAGTTTCTGGCCCTCCCCACATACAGAATCATTCTCCCATAGCTGGAGAGCAACACAGCTGCCCTCGAACCAGACTGCAAAGGTGATGGAGAGCAGTTTCTGGGTGGTCTCTTGCAACCTCCAAGCCCACTAAACCCATCATTAAAATACAACAAATCTCTCAAGGGTAAGGGAAAAGTGTGCAGGACACTTTCTCTTGGCGTTATCTTGAAGTGAAGATGGATGGCAGAGATGGCTTGGCCCGTATGTTTATTTCTCCAGAGCCTTGCTAATAAAACCTTCTCAATATCCAAATGACAGTCTTTAGGCAGTGTTTGCAACCCCTGACTTCTTCTCCAGTAACCTGAATAACTTTCCCCATATTGTGTGTATGTGCAAAATATTCTTTTCACTCTTTCCGATGAACTGCAAAAAGTTGAGAACCAAAAATCTATATCATTTCATTGAAGAAAATATTTAAACAATGGTCAACTTTTCCCCTACTTATCCCAAAAAAAGCAAGGAGGCTGTTGTATATTATCTGTTTATAAAGGAATACATCCTCTTTATCTGCAAAATTAAATCTTCTTTCATTAAAATGTTAACAATTATTATTTTAAACTGGAAGATTGACAGCAACAAATTTTCATTGTGGTTTTTTTTTTTCACTTTTTACTTCTCAACTCATCACAAAAGATCACATGTGGATTAGATTGGTTATGTTGGTAAAGTAATGTGAGAATAATCTAAAATAATTCATCACACACACACACATATATACATACATACACTAGCCGTCCCCTGCCATGCGTTGCTGTGGCCCAGTCTGTGTATATGTGTTTTGTGTGTGTGTATATGTGTGTGTATTTGTGTATATGTGTATATATGTGGTTTTGCGCATGCAGTGTAATGTATTTTTTGTTTTTTTGCCTTTAAAGTCTCTTCTGCTGTATTTTCCAGTGTTTTTATGAGTGATGGTCACTAGTTGGCCTGATAGCTGTCTTGACACCAAATTTGGTGTCAATTCGTCCAGTGGTTTTTGAGTTATGTTAATCCCACAAACGAACATTACATTTTTATGTATTTAGATATATATATATATATACACACACACACACACACACACACACACACTTATATGTATACACACATATACACATGCAGACACACACACACACAGATACATACATTTTTTTCATGTCAAGAGCAAATTGAGAAACTGCAAGTAGCTTCTGGTGTGAGAGAATTGGCTCTCTGCCAGGATGTTGTCCAGAGTATGCCTAGATGTTTTTGATGTTTTACCATCCTTGTGGGAGGCTTCTCTCATGTCCCTGCATGAAGAGCTGGAGCTGACAGAGGGAGCTCATCTGTGCTCTCCCTGTATTCGAACTTTCAACCTGTTGGTCTTCAGTCCTGCCGGCACAAGGGTTTAACCCATTGCGCCACCGAGGCAATATACAATATACATATATGCAGACATACTGTAGGAATCATATAGTTCTCCAAATTGTGGTTGCATTGCATTCCCCAGTATTCCTCACCATTGGCCTTGCTCATTTTCATTGCAATATAACAAGACCTGGAATGTCACATATTTTTATTCTGTTTTGCAAAATCAGTAATTTGTAAAGACAGGGCAGATTTGCTGAGGTTTACGTTCATCTCCCTTTCATAGCTGGCACCTCTACCAGACTTAAAAGTGTTGCTCTTCCTACTTTTTTTAATGAATCCATTTCTGTAATTGTAGAGCAAGTGTAAATCTGCCTGATGACTGACATTTTGGGGGGTGGGTGGGAAAGAAAGCATGGTGGTCTTCATAAGTCTTTCAAGATTTGGCATCTGGACAGTGACTGTCACCATCCTCAGCATTGGCTCTGCATCTCCATGATCCTTTCACCATCTGTATCAACTTCGTCTGTTTACGTATCTGTTTCCTACCCCTGTCTTTCAGATATGGAATGTGCGGATGTGCCTTTGTTAACCCCAAGCAGCAAAGAAATGATGTCACAGGCATTAAAGGCCACATTCAGTGGATTCACGAAAGAACAGCAACGACTGGGAATTCCCAAAGGTATGACTGAGGCACTGATATAAAATAGATACAGATTGACATTTATTTGTGTCAGGCATCACAACTTGGGAATTATTTTCTGCTACAGCTTCCTGTGCCACCATTACGATATGGCTGATGAAAAGACAGATCTGCATCTTAATCTTTTAAGAGTAGAAAGGTGTAAATTGCATGAATGTGTAAAGTTGTAATTCTAAAAATTGCCAACAAAATACTGTATAACTCTTATTGTATGAACCAAGTAATTGAATATAAAAGGAACAACTTCTCTGGTAGCCAGGAACCTTTTTACAACACGATTGTAGTTATAAGAAAATAATAATAATAAAATAATAAAACTTTATTTATATACTGCTCCATCTCCCCGAGGGGACTCAGAGCGGTTCCCAGGTAACATCACAAAACATACAAAATAAAAAACAACATAACCATAAGATTAATATAGTATATTGTTTATACATATAATATTTATTAATATTATAATGTAATACAATATAATACTAGTAATAATAATTCAATATTATAATTATAATTATATATTTACTTACATGTAATATTACTAATAATATTACAATATAATGGTATAGTGCAATATAGTAATATATACTGATATTGTACTATGCTAATAATGTAATATATTGTATGAAAATATATATTGTAAGCCGCTCTGAGTCCCCTTCGGTGTGAGAAGGGCGGCATATAAATGCCGTAAATAAATAAATAAATAAATAACAAAAAATATATAAGCATAAAAATTGTCACTATAACACACATATATTAAAAGTAATCCTGCCTGTTCAAGGCAATTAAAAAATTTGAAAGGCCGGGCCAAGATTTGTGCAAGCCCAAAAATTCTAGGGGGCCCAGGAATTAAGTGCAATGCTATGGCAGGCAACAATAATATTAGTTACAAGCCTGTGGCTATTCATTCCGAGGCTGATTAGAGGAAATGATCTGGGTAATTGGTAGGAAGAATAAGTCCATATTCGACAATGTGTAGGGCTGAGTTAGAACTGGTCATTTTCAAAGGCTTGTTGAAACCACCAGGTCTTCAAGCTGTTACGAAAAGAGGAGAGGGGTTGGGCCTGTCTTATTTCCCTTGGAAGGGCATTCCAGAGGCAGGGGGGCACCACTGAGAAGGCCCTCTCTCTCGTCCCCACCAACCATGCTTATGACGGAGGTGGGACCGAGAGGAGGGTCCCCGGAAGATCTTAGATCTCGTGCCGGTTCATAGAAGGAGATGCAGTCGCGGAGACAGACGGGGCCCAAACCATTTGGGGCTTTATAGGTCATGACCTGCACCTTGAATTTGGCTCAGCAACTTGTCAGCAGCCAATGAAGCTGTTTTAATAGGGGTGTTGTATGCTCCCTATAGTTTGCTCCAGTAAGGAGCCTGGCTTCCGCCCATTGTACCAGTTCAAACCTCCGGGCTGTCTTCAAGGGCAGACCCACGTAGAGCGCATTTCAATAGAGAAGCTACTGTTTGCAGATAAGACTATATAACCAACACCATACTCAAGGTACAGTTAAGAGGTGAAAACCCCCTAAAAACACTATTTTAATGCTTTTGGGCAGCACTTCCAACTGCCGTGGCTCAGTGCTATGCAGTCATGAGAGCTACCATTTTCCAAAGACTTTCACCTTTTCTGCAAAAGTGTGTTGGTGCCTCACTGAACTACAACTCCCATGATTCCATAGGACAGTGAACGTTTTGTCAAACTGCATCATTTCAATAGTGTAGGTGCACTCTAAGACAGCTACATAATACCTGCTCTTAAATGACTGTTTTCTACTTTCTTACTGCAGATCCCCAACAGTGGACAGAGACCCATGTACGAGACTGGGTGATGTGGGCAGTGAATGAATTCAGTTTGAAAGGTGTGGACTTCCAGAAATTCTGCATGAATGGAGCTGCATTGTGTGCTCTGGGAAAGGACTGTTTCCTTGAATTGGCACCGGACTTTGTAGGAGATATTCTTTGGGAACATCTGGAAATCCTGCAAAAAGGTAATTTCCAATTATGAGCTTCAAAATATTTGAGATATTTGGTTTAAGAGCATGATGTAAGACTTCTACACAATGTGGTCCTGGATTTCCTACAACTATATTTGATTATCTGGATTTCAGCTGATAATGTCCACTTCTATTTTGAGTACTGACTAACATTCTAAGAGCTCCTTTCATGGACTAATACAATTATTTATGAATAGTAATAATAGGAAGAAAACAGCATCAAGTGTAATGATGAGAAATGTCATGGCATGGGGTTGAAGTAGATCGCTCCTGTGGTCACTTCCAAATCTATTGTGCAGTGGGTTAAATCGCTGAGCTGCTGAACAAAAGGTTGCAGGTTCAAATCCGGGGAGCGGTGTGAGCTCCTGCTGCTATCCCCAGCTTCTGCCAACTTAGCAGTTCGAACACATGCAAATGTGACTAGATCAATATTATTATTTATTTATTTATTTCGAGGTTTTATATACCGACCCTCTCACCTTCAAAGAGGGATTCGGACCGGTTCACAACATGTGTTAACATACAAAGAATATACAATAACAACACAATGCCACTTCATTACACGATTAAAATATCAGCACCATACACATTAAAACATTATCATCACAGTTAAAAGAGCCAAATCGTCCAACACCATCACAGTCCCATTCATCATCCTCCTTTCATGTGGGCAAAGAATTAAATCAGTTGTCAAATGCCGTTCCACAACCAGGTCTTTGTTAGTTTCCTGAACGTCATGAGGGAGGGGGCAGTTCTGATCTCTAATGGCAGGGAGTTCCAAAGTCGAGGGGCCACCATCGAGAAGGCCCTGTCCCTCGTCCCCACCAGCCGTGCTTGTGCAGGCGGTGGGACCGAGAGCAGGGCCCCTCCAGATGATCTTAGTGGTCTTGATGGTTCGTAGGGGAGAATACGTTCGGAGAGGTAAACAGGGCCGGAGTCGTTTAGGGCTTTATAGGTTAACACCAGCACTTTGAATTGTGCTCGGAAGCTAATCGGCAGCCAGTGGAGCTGGAGTAACAGCGGAGTGGTGTGCTCCCTGTACCCAGCACCCGTTAGTAATCTGGCTGCCGCGCGTTGTACTTGCTGCAGCTTCCGGGCAGTCTTCAGAGGCAACCCCACGTAGAGAGCGTTGCAGTAATCTAAGCGGGATGTAACCAAAGCGTGTACTACCGTGGCCAAGTCAGCCTTCCCAAGGTATGGACGCAGCTGGCGCACAAGTTTTAATTGTGCGAATGCTCCCCTGACCACCGCTGAAACCTGGGGTTCCAGGCTCAGCGATGAATCCAGGAGAACTCCCAGACTGCGTACCTGTGCTTTTAGGGGGAGTGTGACCCCGTACCCTGTTCGGTCTTACGACTGACCAGGAGTACCTCTGTCTTGTCTGGATTTAGTTTCAATCTGTTGTCCCTCATCCAGTCCGTGACAGCGGCCAAGCACCGGTTCATGACCTGAACAGCCTCCTTAGTGGCAGGTGAAAAAGAGTGATAGAGTTGGACATCATCTGCGTACAGATGACATCGCACCCCAAAACTCCGGATGAGTACCACTCTGGTGGGAAGGTAACGGTGCTCCATGCTGTCATGCCAGCCACATAACCTTCAAGATGTCTATGGACAACACAGGCTCTTTGGCTTAGAAATGGAGATGAGCATCAACCTCCAGAGTTGGACACGACTGGACTGAATGTCAGGGGAAAACCTTTACCTACGATTAAATTCATTGCAGCTAACCTGTGAAATTCATCATCCTCTGCATAAGTCATTGGCTTATAATTCTTTGCAAAATAATTGAGATGTTGTGTGTTTAATGCAGTCTATGTCCAGTAAGAAAGAAAAATGAGCCCATGCATATAGGAATCTAAATGATTTAATGACTATTCTTTGCTGCAGACCTGGGAACTGTCTGCTGTGAAAATCTGTGTTGCAACTGTCTCCTTTTAACCAATGTGTTTACACTGGATAACCTTTGGGAGACACAGCCATACTCATGCCTGAACAAAGAAACGGGCAAAGTGAAAACAGTTGTAAACACACTCTGCCCACTAAGATGTTTGCAGTGCAAACCATTCTGGAGGTTTCTGCTTTGGGTGGAGAGAGAAACTTATTATAGTCTCTTGGGTGGCAGAAGTGGGAGGAATAGGGATTTTCTTCCCGTTCCATGCAACCCACTTAGATTATTTTACCTCCACCTGTGGTTTTCTGTAGGTAAATATACTCAGTGGTAGAATATAAGCCTCTCTTCTCATTTAGTGGTGATATGTATTTCCGGAGGTAATTTCTTTTTCTCCTCATTACTCAGTGTAAGGTTGGAGGTGTTGGAGTGAAATGATGTACAGAACATTGGCACTTTCATAAACATTACATTAAATGTCATAGCCTCAGATGAGATGTGATTTCATCATACTCAAGATTGATCACTTGCTATGGAGAAGGTTGTTTTCAGTGGTACCTCCATGACAGCATAGTAGACAGGTACGCAATTTTTTTAGAGCCTGTTGATAAGATCTAGAAATAGGCAACTGGTTTCAAATCCTCAATCAAGTCCTAATCCCACCAATCCTTTATGAACCAGATGGCACCAAGGAGTGTGGAGGTGATACTGTCAACATAGGAATCCCACTGGAACTCGTGGCTATGGAACTCCCTTCGTAATGAGATCAGGTCAGCCCCCTCCCTCTTGTCCTTTAGAAGGATGATAAAAACGTGGTTGTTGGACCGAGCCCTTGGGACTGTGCAATGAGACAGCAATAGGAACCCTTAGTATGCCAACCAAATTTGATATGGTTGTTGAGACCATTTTAACTAGAGGATTTTAACATCAAAATGGGTGATTTTAATGCTTTTGTATGTGTATGGTCTAGTATGTTTCGGCATTGAGTGTTTGCCATTTATATGTTGTGTGCCACCCTGAGTCCCCTTTGGGGTGAGAAGGGCGGAATATAAATGCTTTAAATAATAAATAAATAAATAAATAAATATAGCCAGTGGTGTGAGAGAATGGAATTTATAGTCAAACGATTTCTCAGGACCCTTATATTGTTAATCCCTCCTCTAGAAGTTTGTTTTCTGACCTAATCTTATTTACTGTTTTGCGCAATTCTATCATTGGTGGGGTTCAAGGGGCTCTTTGATTATAGGTGAACTATAAATCCCAGCAACTACAACTCCAAAATGTCATGGTCTATTTTCCCTAAACCCCACCAGTGTTCACATTTGGCCATATTGAGTATTTGTGCCAAGTTTGGTTCAGATCCATCATTCTTTGAGTCCACAGTGCTCTCTGTTTGTAGGTGAGCTACAACTCCAAAACTCAAAGTCAATGCCCACCAAACCCTTCCAGTGTTTTCTGTTGGTCATGGAAGTTGTGTGTGGCAAGTTTGGTTCAATTCCATTGTTGGTGGAGTTCAGAATGCTCTTTGATTGTAGGTTAACTATAAATCCTACAACTACATCTTCCAAATGACAAAATCAACCCCCCCCCCAACCCCACCAGTATTTTAATTGGGGGCATATTGAGTATTTGTGCCAAATTTGGTCCAGTGAATGAAAATACATCCTGCTTATCGGATATTCACATTACGATTCATAACAGTAGCAAAATTACAGTTATGAAGTAGCAACAAAAATAATTCTATGGTTGGGGGTCACCACAACATGAGGAACTGTATTAAGGGGCCGCGTCATTAGGAAGGTTGAGAAACACTGCATTAGAATACTAGGAATTGTAATTTGGTGAGGCATTCAAATTCTGGCTCAAAATTCTAAATATCCCCAGGATTAAAAAGGATGGAATTATGATAGTGAAATGTAGCACCATTACTTTGAAAGTCTTCCAGAGGTCAGAAAAGGCTATGTTTTGAGCCATGCTGACTGTGGGATCCTGGTGGCATAGTTCAGGAGCAGTAAATTTCTATCATCCCAAACAGTAACCTTATCCCTAACTATCAGCCTAGAGGGATTATCCAACAGCATGGGGCATCCTTGTGAAGACTGTGCCTTCCAACATTAAAGGAAGGCCATCTTCCTTCTGTAGTGACCTTTTGCTCCTGCATTACCTCCTGTACTTGCCAATTCCAACTAGCAAGAAAGAACAACAAAAATGGTGGGTGAGTGGTTGCATCTCTTTTTATTTATTTCTGCTGAAGCCAGACAGAATCTTGCCAGAGATAATGCATATTCGTTGAAAAAAGTACCTAATTTTGGCTTCTCTTGGGAACAGCATAAAGGGAGGGGAGAGATGGCTTAACAAAACGGAGCCTTGTGTGAACTGAGTCGCTTGGAGCCTTGGTGCTCTTTGCTCTCCGAGTGAGGTCTGCCAAGGCCCAGGGTGGATGACCACAGGGAAGGGTGGAGACCAGGTTGCAGTGGTTAACTTTCCATTGGATTGGCAGTCAAGTGGAGGGTACTGCTGACGGCTGGGAAGTGGGGGTTTATTTTCGGGAAAAAATAATAATAAAGTATGAATATGCCCAAATACATGATGAAGACATTCCTGCCTGCTGCTGTTTTGGTCCTTCTTAGATGTCTCAGTGGTAGTGAGTCACCTCACTTCGAAACATTTTGAAATAGCTGACAAAGTTGGAGTCCTATTAATCTTAATGAAAGGGAGGGAGAGAGCACGTAGGGTGCCTGTCCCAGTGTGACCTTGTTCACCCCAATGAGTTTGACCAAGAAAAGCTCGGCACTCAGTAGGGGGAGCATTTAAGTATCTACAGGTGGTCATCATTTTGAAAAATGATACCTGAGATAGTTGTGAATTTAGATTCGGATGTGGGATAGTATTTATAAATATATGGTATGTCCAATTGGGTTTTGTTCTTGTTCAATCGTTCAGTCGACTCCGACTCTTCGTGACCTCATGGACCAGCCCACGCCAGAGCTCCCTGTTGGCCGTCACCACCCTCAGCTCCTTCAAGGTCAGTCCAGTCACTTCAAGGATGCCATCCATCCATCTTGCCCTTGGTCGGCCCCTCTTCCTTTTACCTTCCACTTTCCCCAGCATAATTGTCTTCTCTAGGCTTTGCTGTCTCCTCATGATGTGGCCAAAGTACTTCAACTTTGTCTCTAGTATCCTTCCCTCCAATGAGCAGTCAGGCTTTATTTCCTGGAGGATGGACCAATTGGGTTTATATAAGAAATTCACCCTGTAGACATATAAAATAAATATAAAAATATAAAAATAAAAATAAATATATAAATATAAAAATAAAAAAATAAGAATAAAAAATAAAAATATAATATAAATAATAAAAATAAAATATATAAATAAATAAAATAAAAAAAAAAATAATATATAAAAAATAAAAAAAAAATAAATAAATAAAATAATTAAATTAAAAGTAAATTAAATTGAGTAAATTGGGTTTATATCCCATTGTCCTGCCCACTGGCCAGTCAGATGGCTCTGATGGAAGGAACCAGATCCATATTGTGGAAGGTTTAGATCTTAAGAAATTCGCCCTGTAGATCAGTGGTTCTCAACCTGTGGGTCCCCAGATGTTTTGGCCTTCAACTCCCAGAAATCCCGAGCTGGTAAACTGGCTGGGATTTCTGGAAATTGTAGGCAAAATACCCGGGAACCCACAGGTTGAGAACCACTGCTGTTGATATTTACTTGAAGGTAAATAGAGGGTTACTTACTAGAGTTTAGTCCCCAATGTAGATTTTTTCTGATGTTTTGGGCTTTAGATCCCATTGTCCTGCCTGCTGGCCGGTCAGATGGATCTGATGGAAGGGACCAGATCCAGATTGTGGAAGGTTTAGATCTAAGAAATTTACCCTGTAGACATTTACTTGGAGGTAAATAGAGGATTACTTACTAGAGGTTAACCCCAATGTAGATTTTTTTCTGATGTTTTGGGCTTTATATCCCATTGTCCTGCCTGCTGGCCAGTCAGATGGATCTGATGGAGGGGACCAGATCCAGATTGTGGAAGGTTACTTTGGTGTTTCAGCAATCACAACCATAGAACCAATTTTAACAACAACAACAACAACAACAACAACAACAACAACAACAATTTTATGGCCATGTTCCAGAAGCATTCTCTCCTGATGTTTCATCTGCACCTATGATACACAAAAGTATTATGTTATTGTTGAAACTTCAAATATGATGTCATATGACAGGTTTATTACTTATAAACACAATATAGCAGAACAACTTCACTTAGTCATGGATAAATGTCCATATTCATTTAGATAAACATAGTAGTCCAATCTGTCTGATGATTTAAAGAGTCACTTGTAGATGTTTTAGAAGGACTGTTAGTGGCATCCAAGGTTGTGTCAGAGAAGAGGTCTACACGGTGACCAGGTTACAACAAGGTATCCCGGGTGTAGTTCCTTGTTTCAGTGTTGGTGATGAAAACACCTTCTTCAGGTAATGAATTCTTCTTAATATTTCAACAGGAAACAAGTCTTTGATACTACAATTACATGTATGAAAAGAAAACAACATACATAAAATAGATATGCTATAGCACCCCTATTATTATGTTAACATTAAATGAATACCTAAGTAATACAAGATAGTCAAAGTAATGCTCACATGACTTACATTTCATTAAGTAACCACAAGCTCTGCTGCACCAGATCCTGGTGAGGTCCTTTGAAGATGTCTGCTATAGATGTGGTGGAGTCTCCTTCTTTGGAAGCTTTTAAACAGAGGCTGGATGGCCATCTGTCAGGGGTGATTTGAATGCAATATTCCTGCTTCTTGGCAGGGGGTTGGACTGGATGGCCCATGAGGTCTCTTCCAACTCTTTGATTCTATGATTCTATGATTCTAGATGCAGGTGAAATGTCAGGAGAGAATGCTTTTGGAACATGGCCATACAGCCCGAAAAACTTACAACAACCCAAGGATTCTGGCCATGAAAGCCTTCGACAATACAACAACAACTTTATCCCTCCACCATCTCCCAAAAGGGACTCAGAGTGGCTTACAGAACAGCAATTTTAGATGTATGATATTCCAGTATTCCATACATAGAAAGCACTGCACATTTATGTACGAAACACTATGCTCGGTGAATGTATGTTGTCATGTGCAATCATGATTGTCCATGCTTCCCCCCCCCCCCCAATGTACGTTGTTAAGTTTCTATGATGTTTCAGGTCTTCACATTGCTTGTACAGCACATAGTAAATATTTGTGCATAGTTATGTATAATGATCTCTATATAATGTTCATATTTTTTTCCTGCTGGTTGCTGCCTAAGATGCATGTCACATGCAAAACATGTTGATATTTTAACCTACCTGACTGATTTATTCTGAAGGTAAGTTAAAGAAATTGTAAAATGTCTTCAATGAAAGTTGTATCAGTTATACCACTAAACCAACATATTTCCTATTGCTTTTTACTCCTTGATACAGAAGAGATAAAGCCGTATCCAACAAATGGAATGAACACTGCCTATCCAGAATCCCGTTATACATCTGACTACTTCATTAGTAAGTATTTTTTCTCATAAGAAGCAAATTTCAGTGATATACAGGTTGAGGAGGACTATTTTTTAACTTGTAGATCCGAATATTAGATTCTAGAGTGACATGTGATGTTTCCATTGAGATCAAATATGGGAATTTGGATATGGGACTGGACAAGCTTGGAGCTAGAATCATAAGGACCATAAGTCAATGGTAAAGCATCTGCTTTGTATGCAGAAAGATCTCAGTTCAATCTGTAGCATCTCCAGGTGATAGGACTGGGCAGAAAAATGAAAGTTCAGTTTCTTTTTGTAAAAGCCCATGTTGAGATGGAAAGGTTCTCTAAATTTCTTGTCAATCTTGGCTCACCATAGAATCATAGAGTTGGAAGAGACCTCATGGGCCATCCAGTCCAACCCCCTGCCAAGAAGCAGGAATATTGAATTTAAAGCATCCCTGACAGATGGCCATCCAGCCTCTGTTTAAAAGCTTCCAAAGAAGGAGCCTCCACCACACTCCGGGGCAGAGAGTTCCACTGCTGAACAGCAAAGTGTGACCATTTGCTCCCAGAAATGGTTTGCATTGCATGAGATCCAAGTTATACTAGCTACCTTTACAAACTAGGGTTGGTGTCTTTGGGTAAAGTAAAGGTAATTGTTTCCTCTGACATTAAGTCTAGTCGTGCCCAACTCTGGGGGGTGGTGCTCATCTCCATTTCTAAGCTAAGAGCCGGCGTTGTCCATAGACAGATCCAAGGTCATGTGGCCGGCATGACTGCATAGAATACTGTTACCTTCCTGCTGGAGTGGTGTCTATTGATCTATCACATGTGCATGTTTTCGAACTGCTAGGTTGGCAGAAGCTGGGGCTAACAGTGGGAGCTCATCCCACTCCCCGGATTTGATCAACAAGTTCAGCAGCTCAGTGGTTTAACCCACTGTGCCACCAGGGTACCTACAAACAAGGATTTCAAGTTTGAATGACTTGAGACAAAGAAGTGTTAGGTTTTGTTGACTAAAGACACTGAGAGTGTCGCCAGCAGTGTCATCTCTGTGCTTATCACCCCATTTTGACATGTTCTTTTCCAGTCAGTTCTTGAGTCTGTGCCATTCTTTCTGCTTGCAGGTTATGGCATTGAGCATGCGCAGTGTGTTCCTCCGTCAGAATTTTCCGAGCCCAGTTTTATTACAGAGTCCTACCAGACCCTCCACCCAATCAGCTCCGAAGAGCTCCTGTCCCTCAAGTATGAGAATGAGTACCCGTCAGTTATCCTCCGCGACCCAGTGCAGATGGAATCCTTGCAGACAGATTATTTCACAATCAAACAGGAAGTTGTAACACCGGATAACATGTGCATGGGGCGCACCAGCAGAGGTAACTTGTGACACCACTTAGCATCTCTGATTTTCCCATAGATCTCCTATTTGTATATTTATCTGCAGCAGTGTAGTTGCTGTAACCCTATCCTCATAATTGCTCCAAAGCTGGTGCTGCAATCATCATAGCCATCATCGTCGTTGTTGTTGTTATTCTGCTTCTCCCCCAAAATTGGGGTTTAAAGCGACTCACGGTTTAAAAGAATATAATTAAAAATATCCCAGAAGTAAATATTAAAATAGATTAATGTTTAAACAATCCACAACTGAACAAAAGAATATTTATTTATTTATTTATTTATTGTGTCAGAAGTGAACTGAGAATACTTACTTACTTAGGTGATTCCTCATTGGCTGAGTAGGATAGTCTTCCAGGATCAGAATTCTTATGGATCCATAGGTGACTGTGGAGCTCTATTCTTGACCTGCATCTTCTCCCGCAGTGAGGGCATTGGTTTCCAGGTGGAAGATGGTCTCGGTCGGGGTTGGCTTGACATGACTTCCTCTTGGCACGTTTCTCTCTTACACTCTCCATTCGTGCCTCTTCAAATTCTGCAGCACTGCTGGTCACAGCTGACCTCCAGCTGGAGCACTCAAGGGCCAGGGTTTCCCAGTTCTCAGTGTCTATGCCAGAGTTTTTAAGGTTGGCTTTGAGCCCATCTTTAAATCTCTTTTCCTGTCCTGAAGTGAGAATACAGTTATAATGTATAGAAAAACCACAAAGTAAGTTAAAAACTTGGCATTATACTAAATTTCCTTTGACCAGAAGCTGACCAGTTTGAGTGCCTCTGGTGTCATTGTGAGAAGGTCCTCCATTATGCATGAGGCAGGGCTCAGTGTGCATTGTAGTAGTCTGTGGTTTTCTGTCCTCCACACTCACATGTTGTGGACTCCACTTTGTAGCCCCATCTCGTGGTGCCAGAGCACTGCCTGTTCAGTACCTTCCAAGTGACCCAGCTTTCTGTGTGCCCAGGAGGGAGTTTCTCATCCGGTCTCAGCTACTGATTGAGGTTCCGGGTTTTAGCCAGCCAATTTTGGACTTTTGCTTGCTGAGGTGTTCCTGTGATTCAAAAGAATAAAATGTAATTTAAAGAAGACAAAAAGATATTAAAACAATGCAACGCCCTTTAGCCTATTCTTTAAAAAAAGTTTCAAAAGCTTGTCTGAATAAAAAAGTATTTGCTTGTTAATGGAAGGACATTGTCGAGTGGGCCATTCTGTCATTCTTTCTGTCCCCCAAATCTATTTATTTACAGTATTTATATTTCGCCCTTCTCACCCCGCAGGGGACTCAGGGCGGATTACAATGTACACATATATGGCAAACATTCAATCCCAAGACACACAACATAGAAAAGACAGTCAGAGACTATTAACTTTTTCTAGCCGCCAGGGGAGCTGTCACTTTCATTATCCATCTGCGACACTGATGAAGTATTTCTGCATTCCCTGCATGCTTTTTGCTGGAGTGCATTGCTGGAGTCTTTTTATGGCCTCGTAAATTTTGTTAATTTAGCTTCCCCACACAAAGGTGGTACCTAAATTTCCTACTTGACAGATGCAACTGTCTTTCGGGTTGCAAAGGTCGACAACAAGCTACACAATTGGTCGGAAGCTCACCCGGGCTGGCTTCAAACTCATGACCTTTTGGTCAGAAGTGAGCTTAATGCAGCTGACACTCAGCCAGCTGCGCCACAATCCAGAGTGATTAAAAACTTAAGATTACACCATTAAAGAGGTGAAGATGTCCTTCATTATATTGCAGTTAGCTACTGCAAAAGGAACCAATTATCATTTCAAACTAGCATTTCCAAACTAGGACTGTCTGAGTATGGGCAACTATAATGTGTAGCTGTCAAGATAATCTTTTCCTGTAGTTTCTTGAGCTCCACAAATTGTGCTGCTACTTCTAGTATTAGGCAACACATCAATCTGTTGAATTTTGATAGCAGACTTGAAACACTCTCCATCCTTTCATTCTAGAAAGTGGAACTGGTTGAGTATGCAAACTTTCTGCATCTTCTGAGCAATGGGCTTTCCCCTTAATCTCCCAAGAAATGCATTTTCTTTGAAGTTAAGATACCTGAGATGAAGGCCTCTGAGCAGTTGATCCAACCCATTCCTGAAAGAGATGGCAGATACTCAGCCAAATGTTCCGTTTCTCTGCTCTGCCCCTTGAAGTGTACTTTCTGAGTATTTAGGTGCCAGTATCTCTGGCAGTGGAAATTTCTCCAGGAACCTCTTACACAATCTCAGCAGCTGTTTTCAGCCTGGCTTTTGGAAATTAATGAACTTGAATGATCCTATTACGCTGTTTAGCATTGTCAGTAAAGAAGAAATCGTTGAGCAATAGTCAGAGTGAGGAATTCTAAAGAGTGCCATGTAAGGGTGTGTGTTTTTGGTTGTTTATTTTTGTTTTAAATTCCTTTTGAACCTCAACACTTAACTAGACTCAAGTCATCAGATGGCATATAAACCGTAAATCTGAACAGAGCTGCCAGGGTTGACAGATCTGGCTTGTGATGAAATGATCCCACAAACAATGGGAATAAATAATTCTGAGCCTGGGGCAACATTAAAATAGTTATGAGGAGGGTGAAAAGGTAGCTGTTTAGTTTGTAAACTATGCACTTATTTTAACATAGAGTTGGATGCACAAGCCGTATTGGATTCCCTGGTATCCATTGTTTTGCTGCCACTTCTCCCAAAATTTAGCAGTAGCAAGAAATCGGCTTTGAAATTCTGTCTCCTTAAGGTGCAAGATTATACTCAAATGGTCTCCTATACCAGAAAGCCTCACTAGTCAGTAGAGAAGAAACTGATCCAAAAGAGAAGAAGAAAAGTCATGATTTTAGTGGTAGAGGTGGTGGCAGTGATGCTGTCTTTATCGCTTCTGTGGCAGTGGAACTGCTTGTATGTGTGTTCATGCCAATGTGTACACGTACGGATGCATGTATATGTAAAGGTCATATGTGGCCCTGTGTTGCTCTCTCTTTGCTGCACCTTGAAACGAGTCCTTGCCATACCATATGGTATGACCAGTAAGGTAAACCTATTGATTGGCAAGTTAGGCTGCTTAGTAATGCCATTTGCCATGCAATTCTCTCTCTCTCTCTCTCTCTCTCTCTCTCTCTCTATCTATCTATATATATATATATATATATATATATATATATATATATACACTATCTGTACCCACCACGCGTTGCTGTGGCCAATCTTCCTCCCTCTTTCTCTCCTTCCCTCCCTTTTCCTCTCCTTCTTTCCCTCTTTCCTTCACTCCCTCTTTCCTTCCTTTCCTTCCTTCATTACCTCTTTCTTTCCTTCCCCCTTTTTCTTTTCCTTCCTCTTTCTCTCCTTTCTTCCTTCCTCCTTTCCTTCCTTAGCTCTTTGCTTCCTTCTCTCTTCCCTTCTTTCCTTCTCTCCCTCTTTTTTATGTTCCTTTCCCTCCTTCCTTCACTCCCTCTTTCTTTCCTTTCCTTTTTTTCTGCCTTCTCTCCTTCCTTCTTTTTCTACCTCTTTCTTTCCTTCCTCCTTTTTCTGTTCCTTCCTCTTTTTCTCCTTTCTTCCTTCTCTACCTCTTTCCTTCCTTTGCTTTTTGTTTCCTTCCTTCTCTCTTTCCTTCTTTCCTTCCCTCGCTCTTTTTCTGCTTCTTTCCTTCCTCCCTTCACTCCCTATTTCCTTCCTTCCTTTTTTCTGTCCTTCTCTCTTTCCTTCCTTCTCTACCTCTTTCCTTCCCCCCTTTTCATTTTCCTTCTCTTTCTCTCCTTTCTTCCTTCTCTACTTCTTTCCTTCCTTCCTTCACTCTTTGCTTCCATGCTTCCCTCTCTCTTTCCTTCTTTCTTTCCCTCCCTCTTTCTCTCCTTCCTTCCTTCCCTTTTTTTTCTGTATCATCATTTAGCTTTTCATCATTTAGCTTTTTGGGGTTTTTAAGTTCTTTTCACTGGTTTTTTTGGGGACGTTTCACCTGCATCTATGGCAGGCAACCTCGGACCTCACAACCTCTAAGGATGCCTGTCATAGATGCAGGTGAAACATCAGGAGAGAATGCTTCTAGAACATGGCCATACAGCCTGAAAAAACTACAACAACCCACAGACCTTATGTTATTGCACCTTAACTTCCAGAAACCATAGACTTTTTTGGTGCAGAATTATGGGTGATGGAAGTCCAACAACATCTGGAGGACTTTGCACTGTCAACCCAGTGGATCCATAATCTGTGACAAATGTGTCAAAGAAGAAAGGAAGGAAGGATTATTTTTGCTCTTATCTGTATCAAGGGATTCATTTAATCTGTGTGAGAAGCAGTTTCACCGCTTGTTGGGCACACTCCTCATTTTTCTCCTTTCCTTATAGGTAAACTTGGAGGCCAGGATTCTTTTGAGAGTATAGAAAGCTATGACAGCTGTGATCGGCTGACACAATCATGGAGCAGCCAGTCATCCTTCCAGAGTCTCCAGCGTGTCCCTTCTTATGACAGTTTTGATTCTGAGGACTACCCAGTGGCCTTGCCCAACCACAAGCCCAAAGGCACCTTCAAGGACTATGTTCGGGACCGGGCTGACATGAACAAGGACAAACCTGTCATTCCTGCTGCTGCTTTGGCTGGCTACACAGGTAGGTTACTCCAAATATAATTTAATTGGGATTTGTACATTCAAAACTTGGCCTTGGGAATTGGACCACTTCTTAAAGGTTAGTGCAATTGATGGTTATTAGATATATCACCTCCAATATTAGCTGTAGCATGCCTCTGTATATCAGATAGAAGACAGAAGTTGAACGGGAAACTTCCCATAGACAACTAGTTACTATGTGAATATAACATAGCACTAAATAGATATAGTGGTCATTTTGAGTGGGGAATTCTGGGAATTGAAAAATAGCTATTTCAAGCTGGAATGTCATGTATCAGCTTTTCCAAGCTGTTCCCATTTATATTTTTGAAGTACAGTTCAAATAGCCAAGGATAATAATATTTGTTTGAAACACCTGAAAGACCAAAAGTTAGAGAAAGACTGCTCGAATTGGGAGAAGCCTGCATAGTTTTGGGGGGTGCATCAGAGATCAAGACTTGTTCTCCCCTGTTTTCAAAATAGCAAAACTACTGTTGAATGCTTTCATGGCCAGAATCACTGGGTTGTTGTAGGTTTTTTCGGGCTATATGGCAATGTTCTACAGAATTAAAAAAACTCTAAAATTACAACAGCAAAACAACAGAGAGGAAACAATCTGGAACATCTAATCACCTCTCAACAAAAGATTGTCCCAGGCACTGCTGGACCATCAAATGCTAATCAAGGTGGTCAGTTGAAACATTCACAGCTAGCTCCAGCAGACAAGAGTCCTTTGTCTCACCCTGGTCATTCCACAAATATATAAACCCTTTTTCCTAGTTCCAACAGACCTCACTACCTCTGAGGATGCTTGCCATAGATGCAGGCGAAATGTCAGGAGAGAATGCCTCTAGAACATGGCCATATAGCTCAAAAAAACCTACAACAACCCAGCAAAACTACTGTCTGTAATGTGGAGATTATAATCATCACACCAGTATAATTTACAGGGCTATTAGAAATACATTCAAATCATACATGCAAAGAAGCTGAAAGCACAAAATATACTTGAGGAATACAGTATTTGAAGATCCTGTGATATTTATTTATTTCATATCAAAAGCATTGCATAAATTAGTATAAAACTGATAGAAATAGAAGGCGTGCAGGCAGCTAAATATCTTTTGACCAAAAAACGGGCAATGGCATTGTTGGTAGCCTCCAACAATTCCTTCTCTGTACATGAGGCAGGCACAGTGGACAAGTATACAGATGCGGAGTTGTCTGTTTTGCTTCACAGTCACACAAGGTGTGGGATTCTTTTAGGTAAAAATTGAATTATATTTATGACGATGATAAATTAAGTAACCAGGAAAGAGCACCTGGGTTGTGCTGATCACACTTTGCTGATAACATTTCTGGTAATGAGATTGTTTTTGTCACTGTATCTGAAATCAACCAAATGCTACAGTCCTCTGATGATATCTAACACCCCTTGCCAAGAAGGTGATACATTTCGATGGAAACTTTTCTTAGTCTTTGATGTCTGCTGGAGCGGGTGATGAAGAAGCAACCTATTGGAACCCAGTTATCTGTCTCCCACATCTTGACCTAATTTCGCAGGTTGCTGTAGCAGCTCAGAAAAGTTGCTTCTGTTTCTTCTCTTTGTCATTTCTGGAGTTAGAATAGTCACTGTACAAGGCTTTTCATAATTTCACAACTTCTGACCATTTGCAACACCTGGGTTTTTTTAAACAGCTTTCAGTCTGAGTTGTTTCTTAGTGTTGCTTAGTTAGGAGTGAACCGAAGTAGCTCACAATTAGTGTAAAAATGATGTATTCCATTACAAAAGTATAAGGAACACAGAATGGAAGTGCCAAGCTGACCATTCCCTTTCTTAAGTGGGAGTTAAACCTGCTTTAAGAAGGGGAGCATCACTCACTGCAGAATTCTGGGGCTTGTAGTTTAGTGAGGCTGTTAAAGCCTCTTTCCTAAACTACAAACCCCAGAATTCTGCAAGGGGCAGCAACTGGACTCAAGTGCAGCATTTCTTAACCTGGGGGTCAGGACCCCTGGAGGGGTCGCAAAGGGGTGGCAGAGGGGTCACCAAAGACCATCAGAAAACATTGTATTTTCTGTTGGTCATGGGGGTTCTGTGTGGGAAGTTTGGCCCAATTCTATAGTTGCTGGGGTTCAGAATGCTCTTTGATTGTAGGTGAACTATAAATCCCTGCAATTACATCTCCCAAATGTCAAGTCTATTTTTCCCAAACTCCACCAGTGTGGGCATATTGAGTATTCAAACCAAGTTTGGTCCAAATCCATCATTGTATGAGTCTGCAGTGCTCTCTGGATGCAGGTGAACTACAACTCCAAAACTCAAGGTCAATGCCCACCAAACCCTTCCAGTATTTTCTGTTGGTCATGGGAGTTCTATGTGCCAGGTTTGATTCAATTCTATCGTTGGTGGAGTTTAGAATGCTCTTTGATTGTGGGTGAACTATAAATCCCAGCAACTACAACTCCCAAATGACAAAATCAATCACCTCCAATGCCACCAGTATTCAAATTTGGGCATATCGGGTGTCTGTGCCAAATTTGGTCCAGTGAATGAAAATATATCCTGCATATCAGATATTTATATTACAGTTCACAACAATTATGAAATAGCAACAAAAATAATTTTATGGATGGGGGTCACCACAACATGAGGAACTGTATTAAGGGGTCTCGGCATTAGAAAGGTTGAGAAACACCGCTCTAGTGTGATGAGATAGTTGGTGTGAAATCCTTTTCTCCATTTGAGGATCAGGATAGCAATATGCTGTTAGTGACAAACCAAAGCCTAGGCTTCACCGCAGACTTTGACAAATGATAGACTTTTGTTTGGGGCACAGTCCATTTTGTTGAGATGCAACCAGCTCATGTCATGTAAAAAAAACAAAGAAACGATGCCTTCCAACTGAATTGCGAAATAATTAAAGCATATTAAAAGAAAGCAAAGCTGGTCAGGGAGAGGCGGGGTGTGTGTGTGTGTCTCCTAAACAGTTGTCTAAAACCACTGTATAAGGAACATATGGATGTATGTGTGGTTATGGTAGAAATTATCACTCAACATCAAAACAGCTAGGTATTTGTCAAATGTCTTTGTTTTCATGATGGTTGACATTAGACACATTGCAAGTACACCATTCCCAACGGCCTGTAAGAAACACATTAAAAGTGACAATGTTGCCTGTAATGTTTTATCATAACTGTTCCGTCTTCCAGGAGCTTGGTTTGCATTGCCCCTTAGTTGCTTGAAATAGCTTCCCTTTGCATTTCTCCCAGGGTTGCTACAATTTTAGCAGCATCCTGAAAGTTAAACATTAATAGAGGCTGGAAAGCCAGCCTGCAGGCATTTTGCAGTTATTGGCTTAGAAAAGTATCTCTTTGGGTTTAGAGACCGCCCTTTTTCCTGGGGATGAGTTCTCCATTTTGGAATCTCTCCTGCCTCCTTCAGTTTAGAAAAAAAAAAGCCTCAGATGTGCTGTTAGGTCAAGCTAAGGCAGCTCTGACAAGCCATTGTAAGTACAATTGAGTAATTGAGTATTGAGTAATTGAGATATTGAGTTAGATAGAGAAGCTTATTGAGAAACATATTGAGATAGATAGATAGATAGATAGATAGATAGATAGATAGATAGATAGATAGAGAGAGAGAGAGACTTCATTACTTCATCTCCAAAGCTAACCTTGAGCTTAGATAGGGGAAGACCTGTTCTTTCTAACCATAGTGGCTCAGGGTTAGAGTAGAGTGTCCCAGGATTTCCTACCTTTGAGGGAAGTTAACATTCTGGGACACTCTACCCTAACTAAGTTAACTTAGCAGCTGGTGGAAAAGGAAAGAACATCTACATGGTTTCACAAATTGACTGATTTGTTTGTAACTTCAACAAGCTGTGCCAAGTCTGCTAAGGACTTTGAAAAAAAAATATTCTGTTTGATGTTCAAAACCTGGACTGGCCTCTGTTGCTGAAAATCTTAAGCTTCTAAGAAAGATCCCCGCAGTTCACCCAGATAAAGAGAGAAGCACATCTTAGTTTTAATTTTATAGTGCCTGGGTATGACGGCACAATAACAGTGCTCAATCTATCTCTTTGTATCATGTTAGTTCTTCCCTTTAACTCAGTAATTGAGTCCACAGATGACAATGAACTCCAAGCCTGATAAGCAATGTTTGCACTCCACAACAAGACGTTTTCATGAAGGTGACAGAGAAAATCGAAAGGGAGAGGCCCGGGTTGCTTCAGTAATTCGACTGCCACCTGCTAGACATTTGCAAATTAGAACAAAATTAGCTCTCTGTGTTCATGGTTGGTCGATGTTGCAATTATTTTTTTCAAAGAGGTTTAACTATTTAGTTCTGCCACTTAGGTGAGATAATTTAACAATTATAGTTACGCTCTCTATGCCAGATATGTTTTTAAATACTTTTTAGAATTGTTCTTATGTTTGCGTACTAGAGTTTTCTCCAGTTTTTAAATCCTCAATAATATTAAGTAAAATTAAAATACACAAAAGTACAGCTCATTCAGTTAAGATTTCTGTCTGCCAGTTGGTAGAGGCCTGCCACAATAAACAATAAGGTCTTTGACTATTGGCAGAAAGTGGCCAGAGTTGTAATGGGGTGTTACATTCTCCTTGAAACCATTTTCAGTCAACAGTGGAAGCATTTTAGATCAGGTGAACTGTTCAAACACTCTTTAAGAATGCAGTATTCTATCCCACGAGTATAGTATTGAGACCAAACGGGTTGTAAATGGGTTGCAAATATAACCATGAGTCACTGTTGTTTACAGGCACCTCCAGGAATAGTTGCAATTTCAATTGCGCTCCTGATCTTTGAGGAAAGCTTAAAATCCAAGTTCAGTACTGAATTCAAAAATATACTCAAAATGTTTGCCTGGTCCTCAGGGGAGTATAACCCCATCCAACTCATGCCAGATCCCTGCTTGCTGATGTGACTTTTGACTGACCAGAAGCACTTCTATTCTGTCTTCTATTCCGTTGTGTAGTCCATTTT